AATCCCTATCAAAATCCCATTATCATTCTTTTCAGATCTGGAAAAAATAATTCTACGCTTTGTTCGGAACCAGAAAAGACCTCGTATAGCCAAAGCAATCTTAAGTAAAAAGAACAAACTGGGAGGTATCAGTCTACCTGATTTGTTTATCTCAAGTATAAAGGCCTCCAGCTGAGACTGATGCCAAGTCTTCTTGAAACTTTCCCAACTTTTTTTTCCTATGTGGATCCACATCGATGTCTCTGCAGTTATTGTGTTTTTTAAAATAGGATTTTGCACTTGAATAAAAGCAAAGTTTAACAAACGGATTGGATTCTTTCTAGGCAAAACAGTCTATGGTGTTCACTGACTAATCTGTTATATCCAATTACGGGAGACTTGCCATGTGCATTAACAGAGTGTGGAGGATATCTTTGCTTATACTGGCTGGTCCATGTGAGATTATTTCAAGAGAGGAGACATGGGATGAAAGCAGTGCATTTTAACTCTGCAATGCGATGAATTGCAACAAATGTGATGAAATAATAACCAAGTGGTCCTTCTCTTTATTATTTCTCATTATTTCTAAAGTATGTAGCTTTCAGGATGTGATCATTCCTACGTCTTGATTTCAGAAGACTCACTAAGAAGCAAATAAAAACAAGTAAAATATAAAGCAATAACAAAAAATGCTGGTGTACATAGAGATTCTTGGTTCTAGTCATCACATTATTGGATTTAATATATCCAGTTAACCACGAAACTATACAAGGCATGCATAGGAGGAAACAAAGTGTGGGCCCATGCAGGAAGGGTTACTAAAGCAAATTTTAACGTGCTGTCCTTCAAAAGGGGTGATTCCAAGTTTGGCCCATGTGTCACATCTGAGAATGGGTATCTGGAGGTTTCCCACCATCACCAGCATTAATAAGAGTGGCAGACTGTGTGCCTAAACGGTTTGTGCAGACAGCATGGCTCATGCAGAACATCTGTTGTCTGAGAATGAGGGACTTTGCTACATGCTAGGTGCGGGCACCTACAGGACAAATATCCAATCAATCTGGAAACCCTGAGTGTCTAATCAGACTCCCTGGTAGACCACACCTCACGTGTTCTACACTCACTGCTGGAGAACTTAGGACACATCTCCTGGGAGAGCAGCCTTGGGGCCTTTCAATAGATTTTCTCTGGACCTCACCCCATGCAGAGTTTCTCTTTGTTGATTTTACTTTGTATCCTTTTATTGTCATAAATCGTGGACATGTTAAAGACTATTAGGTGAGTCCTGTGAGTCTTCCTAGAGATCACCAATCCTGGTACTTGTCTCAGGAACAATCAACACAGGATCATAATCCAGAAGAATAGCAATGAAAAGAAATTATCCCTCGGGAAACAAGACCTTGTACTTTGGAAACAAATGTTTTAAGTCAGTAATTATACATATATGTATATGTATATATATTCAAATAATACAGGAAACTGTATCTAAAAACTGACAGGTAGTAGGAGATTATTCTCCCAAATTGGGAATATCAAATAAGTGGTAAGAATTATAAGAGAGAATCAGTTCAAAAGTCTGAATTGTAAGACCTAGCAATGAGTTGACAGACCCTGCTAGCAGGAAGGGCATCGGTGAATGGAAGAGCACCGCCAATTACTGGGAACTAACTCACACTCATCGAATACTTCATGCAAAGCAGCAGAACACACATGCTTCTCCAGGTCATACAGATCAATCACAGAGAGACCACATTCCCAGCCATACAACAGTACTCCTCAGCTAATATTAAAAGAATAAAAATCATACAAATATATTCAGAGACCACTGTGTGATTAAACAAAGAATGAATAACACAAATACAGCCAGAAAATATCCGTATATTCCAAAATTAACAATGCACTTTAAGTCACGAGTTATAGAAAAAAATCTCAAGAGAAATTTCAAAATATCTTGGACTACATTAAATGAAAATGAGAAGATGAAATTTGTGAAATGCAACATAAGCAGTGCTTATAGTGAAATTTATAGCTTTGAAGGTAATATTCCCAATAATAAGACCTAGAATCAATAATGCAAGGTTCCAGTTAGGAAACTGTAGAAACTACAGCAAAGCAATATAAAGCAAACAAACGCCATAAGAAATATCACAGAAGTCAATGAATTTAAAACACAGAAATCATCAGAAAATCAATGAAACCAAAAGCTGGCTCTTTGAGATCAATGACATTGATAAAGCTCTATGCAGGCTAACAGCCACAAAAAGAAAATGCAATTTATTAATATCAGAAATGAAAGAGAGGCCAAATCTACTGATCCTACAGGCAATGAAAGGATAAGAAAGAACTATCATGAATGATTCTATGTCCACATTTTGATAACCTTGGTGAAATGGATCATCTCTTTGAAAGATATAATCTTCCCACAGTCACAGTAGATATATAATCTTAATAGAATTTTGTCTACTACAGAAGTTGAGTCAACATTAAGAACATTCCAGAAAAGAAAGCAGCAGATCTAGATGGTGTCATTTATGAAATCTACCAGACCCTTATGGACCACAACATATTTTTGTCCTATGATCCCAAAATTGTGCTCTTAGGTATTTACCCAATTGATATGAAAAATTAGGTCCACACAAAAAACTTCCACAGGAATGTTTGTGGCAGCATAATAATCACCCAAACTGGAGAAAATATTTGCATGCTATATACCTGATAAAGAGCTAATAATCAGAATACACAAAGAACTCAAGCAAATCAGCAAGAAAACATCAAACATCCTATTAAAATGTAGGAAAAAGACATGAACAGAAGCTTTTCAAAAGAAGATAGACTAGTGACCAATAAACATGAGAAAATGCTCACTGTCTCTAATCATCAGGGAAATGCAAATCAAAACCACAATGAGATATCACCTAACTCCAGCGAGAATGGCTTTTATCAAAAAGTCCCAGAACAACAGACGCTGGTGTGGATGCAGACAGGAGCACTTTCACACAGTTGGTGGGACTGCAAACTAGTTTGAGCTCTATAGAGAGTAGTATGAAGGGACCTCAAAGAACTGAAAGCAGACGTACGATTTGATCCAGCAATCCCACTAATGAGTATTTACCCAAAGAAAAAAAAGATATTTCATAAAAAAGACACCTGCACTCGAATGCTTATAGAGGCACAATTCACAATCACAAAGATGTGGAAACAACCCAAGTGCCCGTCAATACACAAGTGGATTAATAAAATGTGGCATATGTATACTGTGGAGTATTACTCAGCCATAAAAAATGGTGAACTAATACCTTTTGTAACAACCTGGATGGAACTGGAGACCATCCTCCTAAGGGAAGTATTGCAAGAATGCAAAAACAACCACCACATGTACTCGCTATTATATCAGAGCTAAATGATCAACACGCATGTAAACATATGGTAGTAAAATTCAATAGAAATCAAGCATGTGGGAGGGGGGAGGAGGGGATGGGTAAATTCAGACCTAACGGGTATAATGTGCACTATCTGGGTGAGGTACACACTTATAACTTTGACTCAAACTGCACAAAAGTAATTCATGTAACCAAAACATTTGCACCCCTGTAAAATTCTGAAATAAAATAAAATAATAATAATCACCCAAACTGGAAGCACCAAGACATCCCCCAGGAAGTGACTGGGAAGGCAATTTTTGGCTCATCCATATGATGCAATATTATTCTGTGATTTAAGGGACTTAGTTATCAAACCATTAGAAAGACATGAAGGAACCTTAAATATATATTGTTAGTGAAATGTGAGTCTGAAAAAGCTACATATTATATGAGTTGAACTCTATGACATTCTGGAAAAGGCAAAACTATAGACAGTAAAAATATCAATAGTTGCCAAGGTTTCTGGAGAAAGAGAACAGAGATTTATAAGTGAAGAATAAGGAATTATCGGGGTGAGAAATTGTACTGTATGAGAGTATAACGGTAAACATAACATTGAATATTTCAAAACTTACAGAAATGTACAACAGGGTAAACGTTAATGTAAATGATTAAATTTAGATAATAATGTATCAATATCAGTTAATTAATTTTAGCACATGTATCCCAGTAATGTAAGATGTTAATAGTTGGAATTATGAGGTGGGGGAGAGAAGATAGAATGGTAAGGAAACTGTGTATAATATGCTCCATTTTACATCAAGCCCAAACTCTTCTAGATAAGAATACATATCAACTAAAAATCATAATCTAGTGCCACTGTTTCAGGGACTTTTTTTTTTTTTTTTTTATTCCAGGGTTTTGTGAGGGTACAAACATTACAGTTACACTTTATGTCTTTACTTCACCCAAATGCGGGTTAAAGCCATGCCCTCCCCTCCCTTTAGTGCTCCCCGTGTCCTTTAGTTGTAGATTTGTTCTGTCACCCGGGCTAGAGTGCTAGAGTGTAGTGGCATCATCATAGCTCACTGCAACCTCAAACTCCTGGGCTCAAGCGATCCTCCTGCCTCAGCCTCCTGAGTAGCTGGAACTACAGGAACACACCACCACTCCTGGCTAACTTTTCTATTTTTTTGTAGAGACAAGGTCTTACTCTTGCTCAGGCTTGTTCCCAACTTCTGGCCTCAAGCAATCCTCCTGCCTTGGCCTTTCAGAGTGCTAGGATTACAGGCGTGGGCCATGATGCCTGGCCTGGGGAGACCTTTTTGTGCTAATGTTCAATAATCAGGTAATGTCTAGACCTTGGCTTAAAATATTATCTACCACTGAACGTGAACAAATATCAACTTTTAAAATGTATATTTAATTCTGTGGTTGCACCAGGACTTATTGACTAAGTAAATTAAAATTTCGATACATTAAAAAATATGGCTTAACCTCTTCCTGGGTTTCTGTTCCATATGGAACACCAAGTAATACACGACTATTATACTTGAATAACCTCAATTGTCACATTACCATCCTTGATGTCCATGTGGGGATTCACCTTGATAGCCTGCACTCAGCGGGATCACTGTCAGAGAAGAACATGGTTAATGCATTCGCAGCAGATGGAGCTGTAGGCAACTTGTTGACAGAGGACCAAAGAGGAATTAGTGATGATTGATTCTAAACATAAAGTTTTGATCGCATTGTTTACTGGCTTCTGAGCAGAGCCATCTGAATCAGAGCTGGGTTTCAGGGAGATCACGGAGTTCAGGGAGCACTTAACACGCCTATCAGGTGGACTGTGGGGGCCACGCCTTCCTGTAGATGAGTCGGTACAGAAAGGCACCAGAACAGGGAGACTGGGGGCAGGGGTGCTGGTGCAGAGTGAGGGACGGGGTCCAAACCCCACTTTGAGCCACGTGGACCTGAGAATGTCATGTGATCCCTCTGCCCTCAGTTCCCTGCACTGTCATATTAAGATTGGAATAGGCATTACTTATCAATATCACATTATGAGGTTAAAAATGACTGAGTAGAGGCAAATCATAAGAAAGAGGATGGGCATTTCAGTAGTTCTCTGTAAGTGTTTACTAAATGCCAGGAAGAACAAGTGTGATCCTCAGTAGTGGCTGAACACTCAGAGGGTGCTCGGATGGCTCCAGGGTACTGGAGGACGTAGGTCTATTTTTCATCCTTTAAGGCGTATGATGCTTTATGGGCATTAGAGAAGATCTGGTATTTGGGACAGGTGCTGAGCAGTGTCGCAGTGCTGGAAGAATTTGTCCCAAGTAGTGTCTCCCAACTCTCAGAATCTGTCATCTGTCCAAACGCATATGGGATTTCTAGGAGCTTTTCACATAATGACTATGGCAAATTCTGTTCCATTAATGCACTAACTCCTGCCCTGGGGTGTGTGCCCACTGCCACTAACTTATACTGTGGAGAATGTATAGCAACTCTATAGACTCAGGTAATTCCAGACATGTATACAGATGTTGGAACTCCCTTGTTCAGTGACTCATAATGGCACGGCTGACTGAGGAGGGCAGGTGTGTAGCTCAGAGCCTCAGCACTGGGGCTCCACGCTTGGGTTGCCACCTTGGCTCTTCTACTTAGGAGCCCATGAGCTTGGGCACATTCATCTGTGTCTGTTTTTCTTGACCCAAAGGGGATAGTAAAGAAGCCATGCCATACATCTGTGGTGACTGTTGAATAATTCCAAGCCTGTAAAGTGCGTAGTAAAAATGCTCATGAAGCTTAATTATCATTGGAATGCCCTGCTTTCTATTTCCAAACTTAACAAGGCTCAGAGACTCATTCAAGTCCAGGATTCTGAATTCCCAAGCCATTGCTCTTCCTATGACAGACATCTGCTTGGCCTAAAAACACATACTTTATTCTAATCCAGACCCACTTTTGAAGAATCACACAAGGTTACAGTCAATAATAGTGAGCACATGTCTCTCCACAGATAACTTGAAAGAGAACTCCAGGAACTCTGGGAACTATTGGGATGCTCTAGATACTTCCAGTACACTGTGGCATTTTCAAATAATGTCTCAGCTGAAGCAGAGAACAGGATGTCATTTGTATTATTAGTTCTTCTGGAACCACACGAAAGTTGTGATACCAATAGTGCAACTGCAGCTTAAAAATGCCAAAATATACATGAAGGGATTCCCGAAAGGTACCTAGAAGGCACAGAATGTTTTACCAAAAACCAATTGTAACTACACATTCAAGTAGTATAAAATGGCCATTTGTACTTTTGATAAATGGAGAAATAAAAGTAAACTGGCTCTTTTTTAGAAAACATGGATGCCTCTGAAAAGAGGCTTCGGTGTGTGGGACAGGATGAACCGATACCTCTACAGCGAAGGGCTCATTTGGAGCGTGTACTTGGTGACAGCCTTGGTGCCCTCAGACACAGCATGCTTGGCCAGCTCTCTGGGCAGCAGCAGGCGCACAGCCGTCTGGATCTCCCTGGAGGTGATGGTCGAGTGCTTGTTGTAATGCACCAGGTGAGATGCCTCGCGTGCGATAAGCTCGAAGATGTCATTGACAAACAAGTTCATGATACCCATGGCCTTAAAGGCGATGCCAGTGTCGAGGTGGACCTGCTTCAGCACCTTGTACACGTACATGGAGTAGCTCTCCTTGCGGCTGCGCTTGCACTTCTTGCCATCCTTCTTGTGTGCTTTACTGATGGCTTTCTTTGATCCCTTTTTACGGGCAGGGGCTAATTTGGTCGGTTCAGGCATAGTAAGGAAAAGGAAAAACAAGAAAGCAAAGGAAGACACGAGCCTGAAGTTCACTTCTTAAGTGAAATATCGTGAGCTTGGGAAGCAGAGCTACTCTGTGGTCATTTGTGGAGGAAGGAGGCAGCTAAAGAGAATGTCTTCTTGTCTAGTGGGAGTCCCTCCCCAGGCACTGCCCTGCCTCAGGACTGTTCTCTGAGTGAGCTCAGGGAAGAGCTGCCATCTTATCTGGGCACACTGCGGCTCCATGAGGATGTTCTGGAATTTGTTCCTAGTTTTCTCATTGCAGTAGCAGAGACCAAACAGCAGCCATGTATTTCTCTGAATGTGAAGCGTCAGCCACAACAGACATAGGACAGTGATGGGTGGAGCCACGGGTGCTCCTGTCACCCAGACCATGTGGGCAGTGTCAGTCATGACCAGAGGAGCTGGGCGTCACCAACACTGCCATGGTTCAGAGGAGGAAACCGTGGCTTGCAATCTTTGTCCACAGTTCCACATCCCTCAGTGCTGAGACTGAGAGCTGAACCTTGGATTGTCGAATTCCGAAGCCACAGTTTCTTTCCTGTCCTATCACACCGGTTTCTTATCTCTGTGGTTTAGTCACTCTAGTGCTGTCTCCTGGATGGGAAGGAATAAATGACTCACTGCTCTTAATCTCCTGCTGAACCCACCTTCCCATACCACCCCCGCCCCAGGAAAAGGATAAATGACTCTGACCCTCCAGAGCACTGTAATTAAAGTGTGCACTTAAAAAAAAAACAAGTCTGTCAGAGTTATTCTCCTGAATTTCATGTTCAAAGTGGGGACTCTGTTCCCAGGACATGAACGTGAGAGATCTCATTACCTTTTTTGTGAGGTCATTTTGGGATTCTGAGCCACAGGAATCAGCTGGCCACAGGACGTTTGGGGCCACACAGACTGATAGATTATAAGCTGTCATAAGATTCCAAGTGGAATGTTTTCTCAATACTGTATAATGGTCCAAAAAGTTGTCGCAAAAGAACAACATTTGCTTTTGGCAGCTGGCCTAAGAAGCTAAACACAGAAAAACGCACACTTAAAGCATGTAATTTTACTTTGGAAGTTGTAAAGACAGAGAAAGAGAACAGAGTACTTTTTTGTATGCCATTTATACAACCCAATGAAAATACAAAAGAATGGAGAAATATGTCTTAAAAATAATTGCCTAAAATATTTCCCTGAAACCAGTACAATGTGTTTTCACTTGGACAAACTTTATTAATATCTCATATAAATATGTTTAAGACTCATGTAACATTTTAATATGTGCTAAAGTAAACATTTATTGATAAAATTAAACAGCAATTAATCTTAAAAGGCTTTTTTTTTCTTAGGTAGCAATACAGGAATGCTGTCTTGTGGCAAGAGCGCAGTGCTTACCTGTGATCTAAGACACTCATCCCAGGCATGACTGCATACAAAACTTTCACTGAATGCAATTCCTGCACCAGAATATGAACTTTTCTGGCCAGTTCCCTATCTGGCAAAGTTAAGATCATGCCACTGCCAGATCAGGCCTTTATCATTTTTCTTGGACCCATAGACTTCGTGTCCTATTGGTGTCATATATTCAGAATGAATACTAGTGTCGAGGGTTCTGTATTAATAATATTAGGAGAAAAACAAGAAGTATACTAAGGCTCACTAAGGTATACATACATCTATTTTTAAACTGGCCTCTGTGCGTGGGACCAAACAGAGCCCTTTGGCGCCAGTGGTCATTTCAGTGACTATGACTGTGAAATGCGAGCTGACGCATGTTAAGGAACACGTGGGTCGTGTGTCTGAGATAGAGCAGGTGCAGCATCGGTACCTCTGGATCGCAGCTGTTCTTTCCTCCTCGCTCCCGTGATCAGCAACACCAAGCCATTTCTCATAGAGATCGCATGAAAATATGCTCCCTTCAATGTTTCGAAAAAAATCCTTACATAGATTTAAAACATATTATTCTTATGGCAAATATACATTGGGGAAATTACAGAGAAAACATTTGATGGAAAACTTCATTTTGGTCCTCACTTTGTTCACAGCTACCCTGCGACCTACACAGAGGCCGGCTCCAATCCTCCACTGACTTGCACACCCAGAGGCAAATGCCTGGATTTTTTGCATAAAACTAGAAGCATAAAAGGAGAGTCTGGGCAGTGCTGGGAATGAAGATGAAGTTTCCTCCCAGCCTCTGAAACTTCCTGATGTACATTTTAGCAAACTAGCACCAACTGACAAGGCCTGGTGATAAATCATCCTAATTGCTATTATTTTCATGAAAAGAAGTAAACATATACATTTTGTTTGTTTGCTTAGACACAGTGCATTTAATTTATAGCAAGAAAATTTCTGAAACAAATGAGCTAAATGCACACCCATGTGCTCAAGCACACGTGTTAAGAGAGGAGGGGGCCTTCTGACTTGGGCTAAGAGTGCTCCTTGAGAGAAAATGTTTATAGTATTATAGCTTCGTTCTTCATTTCTTTTAACTGTATACAAAAGATCAATCTTTAAGTTTGTAAGTATCAAGTTGTTGGCTACACACCCAAGGCCCCAGTGGGTAACTACATGATGCTCCTTAACAACCCCCTGGCTTGGAACATACATACCCTGCACACAAAGGAAACCTCATCAAAATTGAGATAAATCCCAACTTTGGGTCTCTGAGTGCCAGTGCTAGAGGCATGCAGATGCAAGCTTCCCATGTGGTGGCCTGGAAACTCTCACTTTATATGGCTGATAAACAAGTCTTAACACTATAAAATTTGGCTTTTTAAAACTTCAGCAGCTTTCAATTTTTTTGTGCAAGAATGAGGGAAGGTTGTCACCTCACCTTGCTAGCTTCAAAGGCACACCTTGTTTCCACTGGTCTCACTAAATAGCCCAAGACTCCTCTCGACAGTAACTAGCTCAGGAAATGCCTCTAGGCAGCTATCGTGACTGTAACCCTGTAATGGTTCACTCGCTCTAATATTTATGGAGCTGCTGCTTGTGCTAGAAGAAAATGGACAAAGTCTCAGGCCTTTTACACCTTTGCTATGTCACTGGTGTACAAACCCACCCATGGTACTTAGGGTTTCCACTGTGCTTTCCCATGGGGTGGCCCCAATGTGTTTGGAGAGACTCTGGCTGGCTCTGGGAGCCTGGGAGGGTTAGGAACATGTTTGCCTGATGTGTACGGAACTTGCGCACACTCAGAGCACGTAACTCCTCTCTGGCTTCCTGGGCCCTGAGCTGCAGAGTCCATCGGTGCAGCTGGGGGGCGAAGCCAGAGCATGACCCAAGCAGAAGACACCAAGGGCATTTGCTGTTCGACCTGTGCTCATCGACAGCTCAACGGCAAACTCCACGCGGTGCTGATCATATTTTCATTTCTGGTGTAGGCCGACTCTCCAGTTATCTGACATGGTAATGTCAAGACCAAGCGTAACTGAGATTCAAATACAATTTTAAAAACCTGTTCATAGTTGTTGCCACCTTACCATATTTTTGTTCAGAGCTGTTAACAAGAATCAAAGTGGATTTATTAAATTCTTTTTCTGTTCTATTATTTCCCCAGGTGGAAACATACCTGGATTCTTGTGATTTAGCTGTGTCAACTCAAATTGATACAAAAATAGATAAAAATTTAGCTGTACCTATTTTTCATACAAATCGATTGGAGTTTCAGAATTCCATGCCTTTTAAAAGTCAGATTTCTAAGAGGCTGTGGTAGGAGCTGGTTGCTGTGTAACTGTCACTGTGGGTGGCGGGTTCAGCAAAACAAATGTTAACAAAGGACACCAAAAGGCAAGAAGTGACAGAAGGCAGGAATGATGGGGTCATTCCTGCCTCACTCAAAGTAAAGGCTTTCAGAGAGCGGGGAAGGAATGATGAGAAACAAATGGAGCTTTCCGTGACCCCATGAGCATTTTTTTTTTTTTTGACTCATCATAAGGTAAATGTTTGCTGACTATGGTAAACTTCTATAACTATCAGCACCATTTTCATAAGCTTCATAAGAATTTTCTATAGGGAATGTTTCCTTCATCCTGAAGGCAGTGGAACGTCATCACATGCAGGATGCTTGACTCGATAAACACTCTGTATATGTGAGTGTGTATTTTAAAATTTATTATTATTAATTATTATTATTATTTTGCATGAGTGTTCAGGAGTGGAGATGGGGAGGGGGTGTGTGATGAGAAGGGAAAGCACATCTAACATATGGGCCTTCAACAATCAAGGAAACCAGTTTCCTGAAATTGTGACTTTGTGATGTGTTTTCCAGTGTTTCAGGTTCTCTGTTGTAGTGATTATTGCTCTTGAGCAATCGTGGGGAGGGAACCAACCGTACAGCATCAGAGTTATGCTGTGAGTGGATGACGCTAGAACGTTACCCACCTTTAAGACAGACGCCACCACACGAACAGACTCACTGTCCCAGTCTACTCGGTCTCCAGAGTCTAGTTTTTCCTTCAGGGCGCGACAGGATTTGGTGTTGGGCGATATTCGGAAGATGCCCTCCACGGGTGGCCCTTTCTGATTAATGAAGGACAACATGTCCTGCAGGAAGGAAAGGAGAGAAAAGCGCACGGCATTTCACATTCCCAACCCAGAGGACGAGCTGCTGCCTTTGTGAGCACAGAGCTGCGTGTGCAAGGCTGTGAGCACAATCCTGAGGCTGAAGGAATGAAGCACATTTTGAATTCTGTTTTGTGTTTTTGGTATCTCCATGTTTTGTACCCATCAATCCACTCTGTAGCCAAACACTGGGACGTTTCTCATCAGATGTTTCAGTGAATCGACACTGCGACATCAAACTCTGCTTCAAGACCTCTGCTCAGTCGCCCTCTCCCACTTCACCATCCCTTTCTGGCTGTGTCCTCACAGGGGTGTTTTTCCCCAAGCACGGAACACTTTCTGCCACACTGGGTCCCATCTGCTTGTTCCCGCTAGACAACTGCATGCCCCGTTCCCCCTTCCTGCACTTCCCAGGCTCTGTCGAAATC